TATGACCCAGTAACGGCTCGACTGGAATGGAGAAAGGTTATGACAAACATTGGGCGTTCTGCTGTGATCCCGGAAATTCCACCTGTAGCCATTGACAATGATATGGTAATAGACATGCCCCATCCCGAGTCATCTATTGGTCAAGCTCCTAGCACGGTTACTATGGAAAATGATGCAGCTCTTGAGAAAGTCAATATGGACGGTACTCTACCAACTACCAACCCCAATTTAATAATCACTGAACCATTGCAAGAACCTCAAACTGATTTCGATCCTACTCTTCAACTAGATGTTGACCCCATCCTCAAGCACAAGCATGGCATGGAGCATATCCCACGCGAATCGTTCTATGATTTGGTTGACCCAGTTGAATCCGATGCGATAGAAAAGAAAGTGGATACCTCAAAGAAACCCATGTCGACGAATACTCCTAATACAGTTCCGGTTTTTGATGCCTCTCGTTCCGATGGTTCACCCTCGATTGAAATGACTGACCAAGACGATATATTTGTCGATGCTCCTGCAACATTATCCGAGTCCGAATTCAATTTTGACGTGGACATTGACGATGTCGAAGATGTCGGTGCTGACACGGATGAACCTACGGTTGCCCCAAATATGGAATCTACACTTACTCCAAACGGCGATGTCTCTTCAAAGTTCAGAGCCGAACTTCTATCCAGGAGGGGGTAATGTCGTAGAAAAAAGCGACATAGAGCGAAAACAACCAATTGAAGTTGAGTACAATCTTCCTTATAGTTACAATCCAAATAAGCGAAGGTTTAAACCTCAAATATCGAACAAGAAAAGAAAGAAGGTTAGACTGAATCTATTACGCTTAAGGAAGTTGCCTTTAGGAGACGCCAAGCTCGCGTGGCATTCGTCGAAAAAGAAGTAATCAATCAAGTTGAAGGATATAATTACTTCCTGCTTTATTAGTGATAGAATAGATATTTTAGTATAGAATAGAAAAAGATATAAATACCGTGTTGTTGATGATTATAAGTTACTTATCAAAGACTTATAATATCAAAACACAGGTAACATATAACAAAGAAATAAAAAAAGATCAAAGACTTATAATATCAAAACACAGACGCCACTGCCTTCTAGAATATTTTCCCAAGTAATATCATTGGCTAAGAAAATATTCTATTGTCACCTGACCTGTATTATTGGATACAAACCTTAAAGAAATATCAACTTGATAGCATGACCAACGGGATGTAGCTCAAATGGTAGAGCGCTCGCTTAGCATGCGAGAGCACTGGATCGACGCCCAGCTTCTCCAGTCTTTTTTGACAAACTTGCAGATATCTGTTTTTACATTTTTCTTCTTCATTTCAAAAGGTATGTCATTTTTCAGGCAATAGTAGAGATAGTAGGCAAAAGATTTTATTTTATTACATGACTTGTAAGACTGATCCCTATGGGGCAAATGTCTAGTCATAAGAGCAGTAGTAGTAATAAATTACTATCACTAGAACAAAGAATACAAAAAAACAATCATGAAGATTGAAAAAAGAGAAAGAAACTCCAACAGGAAGAAATATAAAAGGAAAAGAAAAAAATAAAAAGTGAATCAAACTACACCAAGATAGGTGTAGAGAGTGGAGGTAATAGGAGGGCAACCGGCTGAAAAAGGACTGGTAGCAACCATTCCAGGAGAACAAGACCAGAGGTGACCTGAGAACAGGGACTGAACTCGGCATCCGGCAGACAGATCATGTCCATCTCCAGCATGATTTCGCAGAGAGTTGGCCACCAGGAGGACCAGCGCAAGAGAGAGGTAGAATGACGTTGGTCATTTGGAGATGGCGGAGAGCCGAGCCGAGGTAGCTGATTCAGCACAAAATCCAGAGGATTTGGCTGAGCATCAGCAACAACACCAAGACGAGAGGCCACAGAGAGGCAAGAGAGCAAGTGGTTACGCGATGCGTGTGGATGACCACAACGACAAGGCACAGGACGAGCATGGAGCCAACCCATCTTCCAACGAAGTAGACGACTACGTTCCCATATAGTCATCGGAGCAGGAGGTTGGGGTCAACACCCAGAGGGACGACAAGCGCGCAAGAGGACGAGACCATCAGGTTAGCCAGAAGACCAGCCAAGTAGGCTCGACGATAATGCCTGATGGCAGACTTGGGATCACCACCAGAGGTAGCAATCCACTGCTGCAAAGAGGCAAAGCGAGGGACAGAAGGAGAGACAGAAGAGTGGCAGACCAGCTTCCAGACGAGGTTGTTCTTCAACAACTTGGGACACCGGAAGCGAGGAACCGCAGGAGCAGAGGCGATATGCTGAAGCATAGCCAAAATGAGAGTATCAGGCGGCAGCTGTTGCATGCGCACCAACATCTTGAAGCCTAGAATGGCAACACGCTCCTGCATAGAAGGCAAGTGGGTCAATGCTTGAACACCACTGTAGACGCCTTCGAGTGACCACCAAAAGCAAGTCGGAGACACTGGTCTTGGGCACGCTCAATCACCTTGAGGTCACGGACCAAGAGAGAAGAGATAGCAAGGCCATACTCCAACTTAGGCCGGATGAAGGTGGCATACAACCGAGCAGAGGTCAAACGGGAAAAGCCAGTGGAGTGGACACCCAACGGCTGTAGACCAGAACGCATAGCCACCATGGCAGAGCGTGCATTGCGTTGGACCAAGAGAGTAGCATCTAACTGTGCCTTGCTGCTAAAGGGCAAGCCCAGATAGTCAAAAGACTCAGCAACAGGAAGAGCAGCGCCATACAGCAGGAGGGAGAAACGCGACCAGAGGGCGGTGGATTAACCACAACGCACTTGTAAGGGTTCCACCTGAACCCAAGCGACAAGGAGTATTCTTCGGCCTTCTTGAGCAGGCGAGGCATCGTCTCGGCAGTGCCAATCAACACCACATCGTCAGCATAGAGCAGTGAGTTGATCAGAGGCCATCATATTTGCGTTGAGGCATAGATCCAAACACACGCGAGCGGGGCAGAGAGACAGAGCGCAGAGCAGCAGGGAACGAGTTGATGTACACAGAGTACAAGTACGGAGACAGGATAGAGCCTTGCAAGACCCCCGTACCAGGCCAGAAGGAAGGAGAGCGAGCACCAGACACCAAGACCTCCACCTGCACATTGTCAAAAAGACAACGAAGCAGACCAAGCAGAGGATCAGAGACGTATGTCTCAAGAGCACGCCACACAACGTTACGATCCACGCTATCGTATGCTTGCTTGATGTCCAAAAAGCATAGGACAGGAGGTTTACCAAAGTGATCATCCGCATGTTGCCGACAGATTTCATGGAGAGCTAAGGCTTGATCAAGAGTACCGCGATTGGCACGAAAACCGCCTTGCACTATGTCCAGTTGGGGGCCAGAGTTCAACAGGTCAGGATATAGACACAGCTCCATCAGCTTGCGCATGACCGAAGTCAAGCTAATGGGCCGATAGTTGGCTGCATCAAGAGGGTCACCTTTCTTGTAGATGGGCACCACTTGGGCAGTACACTAGTCAGTAGGTACTCGAGACCAAAACCAGCACAAGGAGAAAAGCAGCACCAGCAGAGGAGATAAGTCACTCACGATGGGCAGTAGCATCTCAGTCCGAAGATGGTCAACACCAGGAGCCTTACGGCGAGAGAGCCTCGTCTTGATGGTAGATGCGACCAAATCCAAAGTGAAAGGACAGGCAATATCATCGCTAGAGGCATCAGGGAAAGGAGAAGCCGGCAAGTCAAGGTCAGACTGAGACTGTAGGTACAGTACATCAGAAGCAGACACACAAAGACCAGAGGGAAAAGGAGGAGCAGACGGACGAACAGAGGGTAGGTGATCACCAGCAAACGCCGAGCGAAGATGACTGGACATCACCGTAGCAGCAACAGCATGACCTTCTGGGTGGGAGAACCCAGGAGAAGTAGTCCGACTACGACGCAACCGCTTGATGGTGTCCGTGGTGTCAGAGAAAGGACCAGATGACAGCTTGTCACAGAACTGCTTTTATGTCTCACGACGACGACGCTTGAGCTCAGCATTGAACCGGTCACAGCAGAAGAGATATTGTTTCCATAGTACAGCCTTACCAACACCGTCAGAAGCTCGTTTCCAAGTTCTTTGGGCGTCCTCACGAGCATCCACCAAATGTTGCAGAGTGGCAGTCCAGAACCAGCTGTTACCAGGAGGCCGTGGTAGTTTGCGACCAACCGACTCATCGAGGCAACGGTGGATGGTATCAGTGAGTCTACTAGCAATAGAATGAACGTCAGGGATAGCCCCTTCGGTTGGAGAAGATGCGTGAGTAGAGGTACGACTGCTATGTTGCCCGTAGGCCGTTTCAATCGAATACTTAACTTCTGCCAAGAGTGTATTTTTGATCGGTGCGCCATGCAACCGGAAAAGAGACTGATACAGCTCTACACTCTTGTGATCATCCAGACAAGACAGTTTCCATAAAAGACGCGGATGAGCGACAGGAGCAGGCGGCAGAGAGCAAGGCAGAGAAAAAGACAGAGAGACAGGAACATGGTCAGAGCCAAGGCCAACATCACGCACAACCAAAGAGGGATGAACCAGATCATCAAAGCTGATAAACAGGTCAATCACACTACTCCAGCTAGTGTGCCCAGGTTGAGCATTGGCCATGCGGGCAGCAGAGAACAAGGTAGGAACACCTTTGGCCAGCAGAGAGTTCCAGCAGAAGAGACCAGCTTCTTCAACCCATTCAGCCAATCGAGTACCACGAGTGTTGCTTCGAGAGTCACCAAGAAGAGGAACACTACGTGCATTCAGATCGCCACAAATGAACGCATTGGTCTGAGAGGCATGGGTACGAGCAGGGAGAGACATAAGGAGAGACATAAACTCATCATCGGTCAAGGAAGGAGGGGCATAGACACAATGAATGAGAAAGGTGGAAACCTGGCAAGAAAAGACATAAGGAGAGGAGGACGGAAGAGGAGTGACAGGATAAGGACAAGAGGGATTGACCAAAAGAGAGATACCCATCTTGCCACGGAAAGAGTCAGCAACAGGTTGACCATAGGTGTGATACTGTTGCCAAGAAGTAGGAAAGCGGAGAGGAGGAAGAAGCCAGGTTACGGTGATAAAAATGAGTGAGGAGTCATAGAGGTAGTCAGTAACCGTACTAATGGCTTGACGAGCAATACCATTAGCATTCCATATAGTCATGGTGAAGTCATAGGCAGAAGGAGAGGAGGGGGTCATAGGAGCATAAGGAACCATAGGTACCTCGCTCATTAAGAGGAGGAGACCGGTTCACCATCACCGGCCAAGGTAAAATCCATACTGGAAGGAGAGACAGAGGGAGCGTTAGCACCAGCACCAGCACCAGCCACAGCGGAGAGAGAACCAACCACGGAACCAGCTTGTTCTTTGGTCAGCCAACCTTGACAAACAAAGTCGTAGGCCACCTGTCTACGAACCTGTTCGCGGATATAGCCAAGAGCACGAACAAGACGAGCTTGCTGTAGCTCGCGTGCTTTGGCAGAGAGAGCATCAGCATCCAGAGAGACAAAGGCAGGATCCTTGACATTGGTGCCAGAGAAAGGATCAAAGTCAGTCAAGACCGGAAGCGAGTACTAGGCCATGACCTTAAGGAGTTCCTCCTTGTATCCGGCGAGGATCAGCAAGGCTACGACGTTACGAGCCGGATAGTGCACATCAAGTACACGGCTGTTATCCAGCCCGATCAGTCGCAGCTTGTGACGGAAGGCGGAGAGACGGTCACGGTACTTGTCTGGCAAGTAGACATACTCATAAAGAGGTCTGTCTACACAAGTACCAGCAGCAGCAGGAGAAGAAATCAAAAAGATACGGGCAGCGGCCTTACGTTGCTTAGGGGTGATCCTAGCCTTGGGTTTGGCCTTGGTAACCGAGGGAGAGCCGGACTTCTTAGACCTACCAAAAGCCTCCGCAGGCGTGGGGTTCTTCTTGGCAACCTGAGCCCACTTGGAGACAGCAGCAGAAGGCGAGACAGAAGAAGAGGGAGCAGCAACCAGATCATCCTCCATGGACACAGCCAAAGGAGAGGCAGCGGATGAGCCTGCTTGAGACTCAAGCTCCAAGATTCTAGCATGCGCGGCAGCCAGCTCCTTCTTGAGGGCAGAGTTCTCGGCGACCAGGGACTCCAGTTGGGCCAAACGCTCCTCATGGCGCTCAAACTTGGCCTGATGTGATGATCTGACATTAAATAAGTCTTCATTTACATACTAAAATACATCATAATCAATTTACATCAGAAATAGACATAAAAGAACCTCTTGTACTGAATAAGACAATGTATCTTTTAATAGATCAAGACTTATAACCGAAATCCATAATTTACATTATTTAATTAATTTAAAGTAGTCTATGATAATAGAGACTCAGTCATTTGCATGAACTCTACTACTACTTACTCCGACATCTCTTCATGTATAAATATGCTAGAATAATTTATAATCAAAAAGAACAACAATAAAATTGTATAGAACAGTCTCAAAGTATCTACCTTTGTCTCTATATCATCTTATTATATAACTCTATTATCAAAACATCACACCTGAAAAGCAGCAAACCAAGCAGGAGGGGAAGGAGGGAGAGAAGAAACAGAAGGGACCGAAGAGAGCAAAGCAACATTACTTACTTCTGGTAGAGAGTCAACACCAGATCAAGAGGGGGAAACAGAGACACCAAAGTCAAAGACAACGTCTTTTTCGAGATCGAGATGAGCTGATCTCGAAGGGGTGCTGACGTCACCAACTCGAGATCGCGACAGGGTACGCGTCATGTCAGCAGGGATCAGAAATGGAGAAAGAGAGGAAAACAACCGCTTACCGGAGAGACTTGAAACTTTTTTTGGAGATGAAGATACTGAAGACAATGTTTCTGACAAAGTTTGAGCTTTATCGGACAACTTGTTCACAAGAGATGAGGACTCGATGTCGAGATCTGTAGATGGAGATGTCGAGATGTCAGGAATGGAGTTACTAAAAGTGCTAGAGTCGTTAGATCGAGATAAAACGGGTATCAAAATGTGCGTAGAGGAGTGGTGCAAAATAGTAAAAAAAAAAAACGCGGTTTAGTAAGAAGGAAGATGAGAGTTTTTCAAAAACCGGAAATGAATTTGAAAAAAGTGATAAAAACCGGAAAAAAAGGTTGGTAGAGATAGTAGTAGCTTCTAGACATTGCTATGGGGTAATGTTAGACTTTTATACCAGGAACGTATAGAAAAGTTTATACGATAAAATCCAAAGGAACAATTGTACAGTGCTTCCAGCGTCAATTGGTTACCCATTAAAACATTTTACAGACAGGTTATACTTAGTGATAAACAAACAGCAATCAAATTGGTTCTTTATTTATGTGATGTTTTGATAATAAAGAGTTATATGATAAAATAATGTAGGGGCAAAGGTAGATACTTTGAGACTGTTCTATACAATTTTATTGTTGTCCTTTTTGACTATAAACTATTTTAGCATATTTATACATGAAGAGATGTCGGAGTAAGTAGTAGTAGAGTTCATGCAAGTGACTGAGTCTCTATTATCCTAGACTACTTTAAATTAATTAAATAATGTAAATTATTGATCTCGGTTATTATGATATAATCACTAATAAAATGGTCAAATCAATAAGTCGATTAGAACCCAAAACGGCCTAAAGAAGTCTTCTTTATTAAAGGTTATATTTTGTATTGTATTTATACTGTTTGTATGATAATTGATTATCCCTGATTTGGGACTGAGTGTGTATACACTAGCTAATCGGTTGAATGGATTAAGGTACACAAGAACTGGGTACATGATCAGGGCACAGACCTCGTCTACCATTGATATTGATGCAGATGTCAATTTGTGATTATGTGATGGTCTGATCTTTAACATGTTTAAACTAAGATAGAAGACATCCATCGAAGCTGCGGATAAAACTGTGATTGAAAGATATATTTATACATGATATTAATACTTGCTCTTTTAAGGCATAACTAGTGTAAGAAGGGATGAATAATGCTGTGTATACAACAGTTATACGTCTTGATCTATTAAAAGATACATTGTCTTATTCAGTACAAGAGGTTCTTTTATGTCTATTTCTGATGTAAATTGATTATGATATATTTTTAGTATGTAATTGAAGACTTATTTAATGTCAGATCATCATATGCATATAGATTCTATATGTTCACAACAACAATGACATGTATAAAGCAGCCATGGAATCTGTCGTTGGATTCAAGCAAAAGAAAGTGGAGCAAAAGAAAAGAATGGATTGGGTCGCGTGCCTGAAAGAAGGGGAAGATTTGAAAATCTTGAATTATAGAAATCCAGAATCATTACGCCGCCAATTCTACAAATATATGAGAGGAAATGCAGAATAAACAAATTCAAGTTCAAATTAAATAAACAACTTTAGTGGTATTTTTGTATACCTATTCTATTGCGTTTTGTCATATTATTAATTATATTAGCTATCGAATAAAAGTTTTTTCTATAAGTTTGTGTGTCAATTAATTTAACAGCATACTGTGACAAGTGCTAAAAATAATAATAAATATCTATATATCTTTAGTTCAAAGGAGGAAAAAAAACTCGTTAGGATTCTTCTTAGAAACATAACATTTAAATAGTTGTTATAGTCTATTAGTAACAGAATAGCTGATGAGCGACATTCAAGAAGGACTAGTATTAATAAAGAAAACAAATATCCATATAATTAAAGACCCAGATATTAATAAGCTTGCATACAGTCATACTTGTGAAAATTGTCGGTTTTTAAAAACATTGTCAATCACTATAAATATATTTGTCGTTTACCAAAAAAGCAATTGTAGATTATAAAGAAGGTAATCGTCGAAAACTAAAATATAATTGGCGGTAACTTAGAAATTCATTGTCGGCAACTAAAATAAAAATGTCGAAAAAATAAAATCTATTTGTCGGTTCTACACTAAGATAATTGTCGGTTTTTTCGACCAACTTGTCGACGTAAGGACATGTTATTTTTTTTAAAGGTGGTTTTATTGTCATTAGGATGGAGTTCTATTATAACAGTTTATTATCTGACGTTTAGAATGGCTGGCGAAGCCATAAAGGTCACTGATAAGAACTTCATTACAAGCGTCAGCAATTCTAGACGGTAAATTCTCTTCAGTCATCAATCGGTGGCGTTTCAATTTGCCCTTCACGATTGCCCGAAACTGCTCAGTAGGATTTAGTTCAGGAGAGTACGGGGGAAGGTACATCACATGGTAACCTTTGCTTTCAATCTTTCTTTTCATTGGATTCGATTTATGTATGGAAGCATTGTCCATAGCAATATAACTTCCCTTTAAGCTCTGATCAAGGACCATTACATCTAGCAGTTCATTAATAAACTTGATGAAGTGGGCGGTAGTTGTGCCTTTTGATGCAGGTTTAACATTGTCGACAATATTCTCATCCTCTTCTACATTTGTTTCTTCATTAACAATCTCGGAGGCTGCTTGTTTCTTGCCATTGTTGATCCTTTTAGTCTTTTTATTCTGAGAGCTTCTATCGGATTTAGGTGGTGGCTTCTTCAATACTATATGAAGTATACTAGAGGCATGAATTGCGCCAACTATTGTGTGGGATGGTGACCTTGATTTTGGCACATGGACAATGGCAGGAGTTCCTCTCATTGATCTTGCCCGACTGTTTCGCATGTTAATACTGAAACCTGCCTCGTCTATAAACACACAGTTCTTTGGGTAATCTAGATTTATATCTTTCCATTCCATAAACCACTGAAACCTTATCTTCAAGTTCTCAATAGAATTTCTTTTTTCGGCCTCAAATGTAGGTCTCTTTACACTGATATGCATGTTGTTCTTCAAATAGTGGTTTAGTCGTGGTACAGAGATCGAAAAGCCTTCAAACTGCGTAGCCAAGTCATCTATGATATCTTTGGTAACGATTTGAGGGTCTTGTTCAATTAAACGTTCTATATGCTCTTCTTGTTCGGCAGTAATGGAGCTTTTTGTGCCAATGTTCGCCGTCTTTCTATATGACACTTCCCCATTCGTTTGGTAGCTCTTCCACCATCTTTCCGCCGTACGTGGATTGATAGCGAGCTGCTTTGAGAACTTGGCAATATTGCCTCGTTATTCAGGTGCTTCTATCACTAGGTCTATAAATTTTTCTCGTTCTTTATCGGTATAGCTATTGTACTTTTCAGTCAAATTAATGACCTTTATTTCCTTAGGAATCTTTTCTTGAATGACTCTTTCAATAGGCTTTAGAGCTAGATATGCCCTTTGACTTGTAATTGTCTCAAGAACAATGTTGGGGTCTGTAATCTCAGTTAAGATGCCCTCCATTGGATCAAAAACCTTTTCGCCTTGTTCATTAAAGACATTATCTTGCCCATCTTTATAAAGAAAGATTTTGTCATTTGTAGGTCTTAAAGAAAAGAAATAAAACTTCGCAAAGCTGCGATGTCTTTCAAAAAATTACATGAACTTATATGATCAAATGGGTTTAGAAAACCGACAATTATCTCAGTGTAGAACCGACAAATACAGGATTCTAACCTAAAACGAGACGGCTGCAGATTTCCCAAGAGACACCCGTAGATTTTTACTAGACCATTTCCATAACCATATTGAGCATTTTTCATTAGACTATTACATATAAAAGATCAATATTTTCGTAAGAAGAATGGGTTGCACTAACTATCGATTTATAATTGAATTTTATCTTGAAAGTGAAGATGAGGATATGGATTTAAGTTATGAATACGGCGAGATTACTAAATTAACTGATTTCATTGCCCCCGTCCATAACATTAAAATGGACGAGAACTTAGAGGAGATCACTACTAATCTAGCAGTGGTTTCTCTTTCAGACGATAAGAAAAGGAAGGATAAGTATGGACCTGAGCAAATACGTCGCTTTATTGAGATTTTGCAGGAAGAAGGGGTGTCAATTCCTGTAGCTACAAAGATATGCATGATCTTGATATTCACTACAGCCTTTTGCAGACCTTCCCGTCAAAGGCCTCTGTTGTGAACATATAGAAACTATATGCATATGATGATCTGACATTAAATAAGTCTTCATTTACATACTAAAAATATATCATAATCAATTTACATCAGAAATAGACATAAAAGAACCTCTTGTACTGAATAAGACAATGGATCTTTTAATAGATCAAGACGTATAACCGAGATTAATAATTTACATTATTTAATTAATTTAAAGTAGTCTAGGATAATAGAGACTCAGTCATTTGCATGAACCCTACTACTACTTACTCCGACATCTCTTCATATATAAATACCTAGAGAATGAAGAGCTAGAAAGAGATAGATATATTTTTGGATAATAGACCTATACAAGTTCTAATCGACTTCTTTGTTTTTATCTTCTCTCTTACATCACAACAGCCTCTATTTTGATATCAAACGCAACCTCATTCAAGAAGACGTAATCACTTAGATAATTCATATCTGTCTGAGACTATTTCTCGACCCACTCTTTCCTCTTGATACGCATTTTTTTCAGAGTCCTTAGCCACGGGAAGACAAGTGATCCGCTTCACTGTCAAGTTACAGTGGTTACATTAAGTGTCCCATAAAACCTGTTTTTCTACCCTTCTCTACAAAAACTCCGTCGATCCTTCTGAAACTTGGCACATAGATTAATTAGACATTGACAATAATAATCACACTGCTAATTACTCCTAAGTGCATCCAATAACAGTGCTTCATTTTTAAAAGAGAGAAAATTTGCGTTTCACCAAAATTTATTCTTTATTTGAAATGCTCAAAATCTAGTATAACCGCCCTTTGCTTTGATGACTGCTTCTATACGTTGAGGCATGCTGCAGTAGTATGCCTCCATGTCACCTTTGCGAAATTTGTACCATTCTTTTTCGACCCTTGACCACAATTCGTCCAGATTTTTTGGTTTTGTATCATATCCGGCTAGTCTGCACTTTAACTGTTTCCAAAGATGCTCTATTGGGTTCAAGTCAGGACTGTTAGGTGGCCAGTCAGCAATAAAGTGGACTTTGTGGGCTTTAAGCCAAGAAATGGTAGCCTTTGTTGTGAACATATATGAATTCATATGCATAGATCAATAAATGATGATCATGGCAAAAAACCAGATCACATCTATGGCAATTGCAATGGATCTATAGTCACTGACATTCACTCATTCTACTAGAAGTACTACATCATCCTCATAGACAGAGATTATGAACCTATTGACTCTGTTATTATTAATGGCCCTCATAAAGTGACAGTTAGAGCTGACAAATACATTAGCATTGGCATTTGACAAATATGTAATAGTTTATTCAAGTTCAGGTCAGATCATGTACTATTGGCTGAGCTGACAACCTCCTCTAAAGGCATTTCTCTTAATTACTCCTGATCTAACAAATCAATCCGTAGTCAAGAAGCTAACCCAAAACAATATTTTGACCGAGAAGAAAAAGTATAAATACCTTGACATTTTATAGCAATTGAAGGACAACATTTCTGGGAGAAATAAAAACCTATACAAGTTCTAACGGACTTTCTCTGTGTTCTTACCTTTTCTCTTATTGAATATCTACTCTCTCTTCATCTCACAACATTTTTTTCCGTTAATTGCTTGGTAAATCCTACAAGATGAACAACTCTGGTAACTCTGGTAACTCTGGTAACTTTGAAAACATTACCAACCTTGATGTCTCCTCTTTGACTATTGGACCTTCTGCTGGAACATTGACTGATGCCCAGATGGATGAGTCGATTGATCAAATACTTAGTGAAGCATCAACTGTTAGCTCGGCTGCAAGTCCTGGCCAAGACTACAGAATGGTAGAAGAAAACCTCGCTATGCTGCGAAACGAAATGGCATCTACGTTGAGAGCTTTTGGCACTGCTAGGAGCCTAAATGATAGTGCCGCAGCCGATAGAGCACTCCAAGAAGTGGAGCGCATTAAATCGAGCATCCGCAGCTTAGACGAATATAAGTCTATGGTGTTGAAGATTGATGGAGCTGCAGAGCCCACCGGCTTCCAAAAGCAAAATGTTTCCTCTAGTGCTAGCGTTGGAGCTGTTTCGAGTGGCCTTTCTTTGAGTCGCCGGGATTTGCCCAAATATCAGTTACTAGCCAACTCACATAGACCCTTTCCTAACGAAGAGGCTTTTGAGTCGGATGAGCACTTTCTACGTACCTTTGAGAATGTGGTATACTCTTCCTCACAGGATATTGAAGCCGTGTGGAAAAGATACATTCCATTGTGTCTTCCGTATGGAGCGGATGCCTGGGCCCAGACTAACTTGAAGCGCTGCGGATCCTGGACTGAAGCAAGAGAAGCATTTAAAAAGCACTTTGGTTCGAAGTTCAAGACTAGGGAGTATAACACTCAGGTGTTTACTATGACCATGAAGAACGATGAACCCATTGGCACATACACCAATCGCTTTCTTCAAACTGTTTACAATGCTGGCATACCGAAGGATGATCCTTGAGTAGCTGATCGTTTTCTTGCTTCTCTGACTGCCCCTGTACAGACTTTGACACGTCTGGCGTGTATGAATACGTTGGGTAGACAGACAGAAGATTCTTCGAGTTGGACTGTGGAAAACATAGCCGATGTCGCAAGAGATGTGTTGGGTGATGATGCGTCCAAATATACTACGTCTACTTCCTTGTTGCCTGGTGTGGCAGGGCTGAGTCATGCTGTTGGTGTGAACCCTTTGGGTCATGCTAAGAGACATGCTAGAACGATAAGAACGCAGGTTGATCGCTCTGCACCTTACAATAAACCTGGCACCAGCAAATCATACTTTTGCAAGATGCATGGGCAAAATAGCACTCATACCACGGATAAGTGCTATACCATAAGCAAGAATAAAAACAAAGAAAAGGAAAAGGCAACTATCTCTCGACAACGTGACAATCCTTGCAGATTTTGCGATGAACCTTGGATTCCCGGTCACAGTTGTACAAGAAGAAATGTCTTGGCTTTGACAGCTGCAAAGACCAATGACGATAAAAATAAAGACAATGACAATGACAGAAAAGAAACAGACGATGATACTAAAATGATCACGGATGATTGCTTTGACTGTAAGTACACAAACGAGATCAAAGCGAAAGATGCTTTACATAAAGACACTTTTGACTTATTGACACCTATCATTATAGAAAACCACAAGATGATGGCAAAGGTTGATACCGGAAGCACACATACTTTTATAAAGTTAGACTCGCTTAGAGCTAAATTAAATATAAACAAAATAAACAAAAATATTAGTGGTTTCTTTAATTGCTTGTCTAAAGACAATAAAATTTCTCGTATTGGTATTACAGATCCTTTGACTGTAAAATATACAAATGGAATCATTTTTAAGCACCAATTTGAAGTCATAGATTTCAATGATAGCTTTGACTTTGACATTCTTCTTGGTACGGACATTATGAGTAAATTGGGTATTGCACTTACAGGTGTTGCATACAATTTAGAAAATGATAGTGCTGATCCAAATGATAAAGACTCTATCTTTTCTAATGCAAACATCGTAACAACTGATACACCTGAACCTGATAATTCACCTGCTGGATCTACTGAGGAGGTTGCACAGTTTATGGCTTCCATCCAAGATGCTATTGATGAAAATCAAAAGATACCAGTAGAGTCATTTTGTCCTATTCCAGAATCCATTATCAAGTTGCCCACACCTGAAGGAGCAACCGCTTATCGTCGTCAGTACAGCATCCCGCATACATTGAGGCCTGTCCTAGATGAACAGATAAATGAATGGCTTAGAACAAAAACAATAGAGAAGTGTGGTGTCAATACTTCTTTTAATAGCCCGTTGTTACTTGTACCTAAAAAGAACAAACAGGGTGATATTGTCAGCCATCGAGCTTGTTTGGATGTTAGACTTTTAAATAAGATCTTACCACCAACATATAACTTTGAAGTGCCACTGGTGAGAAACATTTTTGAAAACTTAAGAGGCAAGAAGATTTTCTCAACTCTTGATCTCTCTAATGCATATCATCGCTTTAAAATCCATCCTCCAGATGCGCATAAATTAACATTTTCTCATAATGGACAGCAATACTGCTTCATCAAGGGATGCTTTGGACTAAAGAGCCTAACTTCTCAATTCTGTAAGGTTATGGCCATTTTGTTTGAGGGTATGGATTGCGTTCAATCTTTTGTTGATGATTGTATCGTGGCCAGTGAAACACCCGAGCAACATGCCAAAGATGTCAAAATGGTGATAGACAGATTGATACAAGCCAAATTGATTTTGAATCCAAAGAAATGTGTTTGGTTTCAGCAGTCAGTTAGGATGCTTGGATTTGTGGTCAATGCAGATGGGATTATGGTTGATAAAGCCAAACTCACTAACGTTGAATCATGGCCAGTACCAAA